TATGATGAAACAATTTCTGCTCAAATAATGCATCAACAAGCTAGACTGGAAATTTCTAACAAAACACAACCAAAATGGACTATAAATATTGCAGCCCCGAAATAACATTAAACTAGATTCTTACAAAGACACAAAATCATCAAGAAATTAGATCATGTCATTTCAGAATGAATCATGCTTGATACAAATTTAAACAGGGAAAAAGAGAACTAAGCTACCAACTTCAGCATATAGAATGAACCTTTTAAACTCGATCCTCGAACACATGTAAAGACAACCATACAATCGGATTTCAACCATGGAAGTACACTTAAAAACATTGATGGTCATCAATTGAGTAAATGTTGCAAAACCAACAAAATTTCAGCTACTTCAAATTAGCAGATAGGAGCTTAAGATGGTACGATCTTATGCTTAATTGAACAGGTCACTTCTATGTCTCAAAGATTATGCATTTTTAGATCAACGATCCTTAAACATAAACATATAGGAGCACTAAGGAAGAACACAGAAATATTTGAGAGTAAACACTGGAAATAAACCTAAACAAATTAAGGAAAAACGAAAAGAACATCTGATCCCATTATACAAACCAACTTAAGATTATTCTAATAGTGTTATTGTACAAACAAACAAGACTTATGTTAAGCTCACAAGAAACAAAACCACAAGTGAATAATTACATCTTTACACAATAATTAACTACAAACAGAGAAGTAACATTTTACGGTTCGAAAGAGACTAATGCTAGCTAAAATAGAAGAATTTACCAGCTCCTTAAGAATCATTGATAACGTAATAATAACAGGGCAATAAAATACTCATGATATAAATCACATTAAAACAAGTAGCAAGATCAGTACTAACCAAAAATGCCAAATATTGAAGTCAAATCTGAGCATTTTTAGTAAACTAAATTAGGCATACACAATCATTAAAGGAAACAACACAACACTTCATATCAAATTAAGAATAAACGGTTAATACGAAAAAAAAAACTAAGGAAGACTAAATTTAAGCAAGCATACAACAGAGGAATCTACTACCAATTTCAAAAAGCATAAAACTAAAAGAAAGAAAAGGGAATAAGAATATTACCTGGTTTTGGGTAGCGAACCGGAATGACGAGTGGTAAACAACGAGTGTCCACCACCAAAGGAGCTTTTCCGGAAAGCTTGGATGAAGACTTCAAGGATCTGAACCTTATGAAAAAAAAATTTAAACCTTAAAGCTTTGGACTATCTAAGGCCCCCTACCTACCCCTACCTCCCTACCTACCCCCCTCCCCTCCGAGCCCACCTACCTACCCTCAGGGTCCCCCCCCCCTTGTTTATCCTATTAAAAAGAATAAAGTACTAGTATTCAAAAAATCAAACAAAAGTAGCATATATGTTCTACTGTTTCTACTTGTTTATCCTATTAAAAAGAATAAAGTACTAGTATTCAAAAAATCAAACAAAAGTAGCATATATGTTCTACTGTTTCTACTTGTTTATCCTATTAAAAAGAATAAAGTACTAGTATTCAAAAAATCAAACAAAAGTAGCATATATGTTCTACTGTTTCTACTTGTTTATCCTATTAAAAAGAATAAAGTACTAGTATTCAAAAAATCAAACAAAAGTAGCATATATGTTCTACTGTTTCTACTTGTTTATCCTATTAAAAAGAATAAAGTACTAGTATTCAAAAAATCAAACAAAAGTAGCATATATGTTCTACTGTTTCTACTTGTTTATCCTATTAAAAAGAATAAAGTACTAGTATTCAAAAAATCAAACAAAAGTAGCATATATGTTCTACTGTTTCTACTTGTTTATCCTATTAAAAAGAATAAAGTACTAGTATTCAAAAAATCAAACAAAAGTAGCATATATGTTCTACTGTTTCTACTTGTTTATCCTATTAAAAAGAATAAAGTACTAGTATTCAAAAAATCAAACAAAAGTAGCATATATGTTCTACTGTTTCTACTTGTTTATCCTATTAAAAAGAATAAAGTACTAGTATTCAAAAAATCAAACAAAAGTAGCATATATGTTCTACTGTTTCTACTTGTTTATCCTATTAAAAAGAATAAAGTACTAGTATTCAAAAAATCAAACAAAAGTAGCATATATGTTCTACTGTTTCTACTTGTTTATCCTATTAAAAAGAATAAAGTACTAGTATTCAAAAAATCAAACAAAAGTAGCATATATGTTCTACTGTTTCTACTTGTTTATCCTATTAAAAAGAATAAAGTACTAGTATTCAAAAAATCAAACAAAAGTAGCATATATGTTCTACTGTTTCTACTTGTTTATCCTATTAAAAAGAATAAAGTACTAGTATTCAAAAAATCAAACAAAAGTAGCATATATGTTCTACTGTTTCTACTTGTTTATCCTATTAAAAAGAATAAAGTACTAGTATTCAAAAAATCAAACAAAAGTAGCATATATGTTCTACTGTTTCTACTTGTTTATCCTATTAAAAAGAATAAAGTACTAGTATTCAAAAAATCAAACAAAAGTAGCATATATGTTCTACTGTTTCTACTTGTTTATCCTATTAAAAAGAATAAAGTACTAGTATTCAAAAAATCAAACAAAAGTAGCATATATGTTCTACTGTTTCTACTTGTTTATCCTATTAAAAAGAATAAAGTACTAGTATTCAAAAAATCAAACAAAAGTAGCATATATGTTCTACTGTTTCTACTTGTTTATCCTATTAAAAAGAATAAAGTACTAGTATTCAAAAAATCAAACAAAAGTAGCATATATGTTCTACTGTTTCTACTTGTTTATCCTATTAAAAAGAATAAAGTACTAGTATTCAAAAAATCAAACAAAAGTAGCATATATGTTCTACTGTTTCTACTTGTTTATCCTATTAAAAAGAATAAAGTACTAGTATTCAAAAAATCAAACAAAAGTAGCATATATGTTCTACTGTTTCTACTTGTTTATCCTATTAAAAAGAATAAAGTACTAGTATTCAAAAAATCAAACAAAAGTAGCATATATGTTCTACTGTTTCTACTTGTTTATCCTATTAAAAAGAATAAAGTACTAGTATTCAAAAAATCAAACAAAAGTAGCATATATGTTCTACTGTTTCTACTTGTTTATCCTATTAAAAAGAATAAAGTACTAGTATTCAAAAAATCAAACAAAAGTAGCATATATGTTCTACTGTTTCTACTTGTTTATCCTATTAAAAAGAATAAAGTACTAGTATTCAAAAAATCAAACAAAAGTAGCATATATGTTCTACTGTTTCTACTTGTTTATCCTATTAAAAAGAATAAAGTACTAGTATTCAAAAAATCAAACAAAAGTAGCATATATGTTCTACTGTTTCTACTTGTTTATCCTATTAAAAAGAATAAAGTACTAGTATTCAAAAAATCAAACAAAAGTAGCATATATGTTCTACTGTTTCTACTTGTTTATCCTATTAAAAAGAATAAAGTACTAGTATTCAAAAAATCAAACAAAAGTAGCATATATGTTCTACTGTTTCTACTTGTTTATCCTATTAAAAAGAATAAAGTACTAGTATTCAAAAAATCAAACAAAAGTAGCATATATGTTCTACTGTTTCTACTTGTTTATCCTATTAAAAAGAATAAAGTACTAGTATTCAAAAAATCAAACAAAAGTAGCATATATGTTCTACTGTTTCTACTTGTTTATCCTATTAAAAAGAATAAAGTACTAGTATTCAAAAAATCAAACAAAAGTAGCATATATGTTCTACTGTTTCTACTTGTTTATCCTATTAAAAAGAATAAAGTACGAGTATTCAAAAAATCAAACAAGATTCTTCTTGTTTCTCCTATTAAAAGGAATAAAATACAAGTACTCAAAAAATCAAACAAGAGTAACATATCTTTTCTACTATTTCTTCTTGTTTCTCCTATTAAAAAGAATAAAATACAAGCATTCATAAAATCAAACAAGATTCTTCTTGTTTCTCCTATTAAAAAGAATAAAATACAAGTATTGAAAAAATCAAACAAGATTCTTCTTCTTTTTCCTATTAAAAAGAATAAATACAAGTATTCAAAAAACTAAAAATCTTGTTTCTCCTATTAAAAAGAATAAAATACAAGTATTCAAAAAATCAAACAAGAGTAACATATCTGTTCTACTATTTCTTCTTGGTTCTCCTATTTAAAAGAATAAAATACAAGTATTCAAAAAGTCAAACAAGATTCTTCTTGCTTCTCCTATTACAAAGAATAAAATACACAATTCAAACAATTAAACAAGAGTTAATATCTCTTTTAATGTTTCTTCTTGTTCCTCCTATTCAAAAGAATAAATACTAAGTATTAAAAAAATCAACAAGAGCAGCACTTCTTCTCTTTGTACTTCGTGTAACTCTTTGAAGTATTAGTTTTTTCATTGTAAAGCTTCACTTGAAGCCTATATCGTGTTTTCATTTAATTAAGTTAATTTAAGTATTCAAAGTTAGAATTAATCAAAACAAAAATAACTAAATACAATCAATCAATCAAGAGAGAGAGAGAGAGAGAGAGAGAGAGAGAGAGAGAGAGAGAGAGAGAGAGAGAGAGAGAGAGAGAGAGAGAGAGAGAGAGAGAGAGAGAGAGAGAGAGAGAGAGAGAGAGAGAGAGAGAGAGAGAGAGAGAGAGAGAGAGAGAGAGAGAGAGAGAGAGAGAGAGAGAGAGAGAGAGAGAGAGAGAGAGAGAGAGAGAGAGAGAGAGAGAGAGAGAGAGAGAGAGAGAGAGAGAGAGAGAGAGAGAGAATGAGTTTGGGCCATTCGGGCTTTAGCTGCTGCTGCCCAGAAATATTGGGCCAGTTTTATTTCCCTTTTCAGTTACTATTGAAAAGCTTTCGCTGGTTTGGGCCTCTTTACAGTTGTACTAGATGTTAAGCGCCCGTGCCAGTATGGGTCCAATGACAACCAAGAAGAAGCTCGTTTGTTGTTGATGATCATACAACTTGACCGATATAGTTGTTGTTTTTCAGTCTGGAAGATGGTTTTATTGCTACTCATCCACATTTCCATCTGAATATAATAGATGTTAAGTTTGTCAAGCAGCCTGCAGTAGAGTCAAGTTACTCATTTAAGTGAAATCAAAACATGCTAATAATGTAATTGAACATTACTTCTTTGCAGTGGAGGTCAGCCCCAAAGGTGTTGTGATATACAACGTTCTGAAGAGAATGGTAGCATGTAGTAGAAATGTCATCTTAAAGTAGTGCCAATGGTGCAGAGGTATTGGGAATAATACTTGTAGCAGCGACATTCTGAGGTGATGGAAGAGGAAGAGGTCGTGAAACTGATAATCTATATTTCTTTAAGCAATTAACAAAAGACAACAGTTCATCAAACAGTGGATATTTTCTTCCATGTGCTCAGTACATGTGGCGCCTCTGCTTTTGTGCTTGTCCAAGCCTTTAATCTAAATAAGTTTGAAGGGATAACAAAATCAGCTTGAGTACAGGCAGAGTACTCTTTCTAGGAAAAACATAACAAAATTAGATATTACCTCAACATTGCTCTCAACATTTTCGAGTAAATCTAGAATAAAGCGTGTAGATTTGATGGGGAAGTCTTCAGTTATTTGAACGGTGGGTCTTCTAGATATCCAACGGTATCTCTGTAAGTATCTTACACACTTGGGTGCAAGGCAGTAGGGTATCTTGCTAAGTTCAAACTGAAATTCCCTGTCTCCAACAAAAAATTAATCATATATCTTCTCAAGACAATTTTTGAACTTGTAAATAAGAATTCTCGGATTTGCCAGCTAATGCCAGAACACAAACCAAACTCAAATTATATTCTAAGATATAGTACAATGGATAAAGTAAAGTCCAATAACTCCGATTTGCAAATATCAAGATATTATAGGTTGATAATTGTATTCAAATAAAATTAAGTTCCTTCAAATACTTTCTTTACCTACAGTAATCAAATGGGATTCACTTACAGTATTAGCCAATCATGGATTTATCCAAATAATACTTTTACTTGTACCAATTCATAATAAAAAGAAGAGAAAGTTGGGTGTGTGTGTGTGTGTGGAGGGTTGTAAAGAGCATCAAGACAGAGAACTTTTTTGTGAACTATTGAATGAAAATGACCTTCCTGGAATTGATTACTCCAAAGCAACAACTAAACTTCTTTGCTTAGTTTGTGCTATATATATCTCATCAAACTTACTATAGACACAGAGCAAACATTTCTTGATTTCTTCTCTATCAACTTAACTAGTTTTGATCATTTTAGTGCAGAACCATGCCTCGAGGGCCCCCGTCCCGAAGCACCATACCTCGAGGGCCAACAGAAAGATGCACAAATTTGACATGTATGATGAATCTGGAGGCTTTAGGATGCACTTCAGACAAAGCAAGTATATAACTTCAAAGGAATAGACACAGATGTGAAGGATTGATTAAGCACCTGCCGTATGAAACCCTCAAGAGTTCCAAGCTTCCCCATTGCCATGGCCATTTGACCCATATAATTGGAAACATTCCCAGAGGAACCTGAAGGTCCAAGATACCCTGCGAGAGTCTCAGCCAAAGACTGCTGCAATGCCTCCATTCCCTGGGATAAAGCATCCTCAACCTGTTGGGATGACTGTTGTAAGTTGATCGCCAATAACTGTTGTTTGGTTAAAGGATCCAACTGATTAATGAGCAGATGCAACTAAGTGGCAAGAAATTTAAGAACTTGTAGGAAAAATTAAGTCAATAATCTCTTCTCATCACCTTTTAACCCTTGAAAAAAAATATAGAAAAAAGAAAGGAAGGAAATGTCCTAGTTTTTTAAAAGAGAAGATAGGGGTGAATGGAGAGGTCTGACTAAAGCAAGACCATTGGAGAAACGGAAACATTAAGAGCTGTTTATTTTACTAACAAGAACAGCAATACAAAGACGATAAATAGGAGTTACAAGCATGTTGAAATAAGAGCATTGCATACAAAAGAAGATCTTCACCCATTGTTTATATTCTCCTTGATATAGGAAAATAAAAAAGGTCTACTTGCCCAACCAGATTTTAAAGGAGGACTTACTTCAAATTACAAAGTCATCATAATCAATCAAAATTTGGACTTATTGAAGTCAAGACTAGTCATAGTTCAAAACATCAAATGAAATAATGACTAGATATGGATTTGAGAGGTAACTAACTTACCCTGTTTTTATCTTCAGTATCGGCATCTGTTGATGTACTAGGACTGATATCAGCCATCGTGAACTATAGCCAACTTTGCGGATAATCAATTGAAATTGAAACACAAATCAGATGTAGTATCTTCTGTAAATCACCAAGCAGAAGCATAACAAGGAAGTGTAATGGAGTCTAGAATGGATCCATTAATTCTCTATTACTTAACAGGTAGGTGGAACAAAGGGAAGAACCAAATTTGAGGAACTAACAGATTCAAAATCTAATCAGGACAAAGTAACTAATATAACAAAAAATTAAAGCAAGATAAGCTTAGGTGATAGTCTTACAAAGAGAAAAATAGGATTAGAGGCATAGAGGTCAAAACTAGTAAAATCAAACCATAAATTATAGAAGGGGGTGTATTGAAGTTGAACATGCCTTTAAATTTTGGGTCGAGAAAGGCCGTAGAACTAACAGATTCATGAATCAATTCAACAAGATAGAATGCATTAGTGAAAGAGTCTGAATCCAGATACCATGCAAGAACGCGTGCTTCAACTACAATTAATGTATGAATTCCCAACAAATTTCTAAATAAAGTGGAAGAAGGAAGAAATATACAAATTAAACAGCTCAAGCCTAGCATAATTAGATCAGCAACATGTTTCGGAGATAGAGAAGGGGATGGTTACCTTTTCAGACAAAAGTGACATTGGAGGCCATAGGCAGCAAAAACCCTCGAGATTTCTCAAGCGAACAGTGAACAAAACTTTACAGATCTGCGAATTCAGAGGAAAAAGGATGGGGAGAAACGGATTTGGGGTGAGGGAGACAGCTATTAGCCGTTTATCCACTGGTTTTCGTACAAATTCCGGCGGATTTTGAAATGAGGGAGATGAGGTCTGTGTTAGCCGTTAGGAATTTGGGGCTATTTATAGGTTGGGTATCAAGTTTGCTTTTTGAAATTACTTTGGTTTTCTTTTGGGTTTAAATTGGATTTGGAGAAACTTGTGCTAAATAAATTAGATTGAAACAATTTTAAATCAATAAAATTAGAAATGAGATAAATTATCCAAAAGCTAATCTAAAACTTGTCTTGAAAATAGATAGAAAAATATTTTAACTTTTGTAAAACAAATTATTTTACCTCATTTGAAATTGTGGAAGTTTGAATAATTAATCAAATTGTGGAGGTCAAAATTGGGTGTCAACAGTGAAGTCTCTATGATAAAATATTTATTTATAACGAGTGATCATTATAAATAGTAACATGTCTACGTGGACACATATATACCTTTAAAATACACTATTAAATAGTGCAGGAGGTAATAGGTCCTGCCCAAAGTTTGGAATTGTTACAACAATTTCAGTTAAAGTTCAGATATATTTCGAACCCAATTCCCAAAAGATACTCTATTATGTAATTTAATAAGTTACACTTTACTTTGATGTCTTCATATGCTTGTTAATGGTTTGGACAAAAAGTCAAATTTGTTCTATTCTCTAAAAAAATACTCTCTAACGGTAAAGATAAGATTGTGTAAGCATCACCTTTTCAAATTCTATTTATGAAGTTACACTAGATATATTGTTATTAGTTGGACGGAATTGGAATACCCAAAAAGAAGAGAGGATATATCACCCATTAATATACAATGTAAGGGAATTTATAATGGACTAATACCAATGCAATTAAAACCTTATTACTTTATATTTTATACTACTACTTAATAGTATACAACAATATAATTCCACTATTGTATATCTTCAACGTATACAACTTTGTGAATTAAATATCTTTGTATACGCGATACAAAACTAGAGGTATGTATACGATACAATTACGATACACACCAAGGGCCAAAAAAAAGGGCATACATGTATTTCTATAGATAGAGATTTTATAACAACGACTACGCCTCAATCTCAAACGATACAATGAAAAAAAAAATCAATAGCTAAATAACAATGCAAAAATTGGAGGGTATTATAAGTGAATGTTCATTTCCATTAACCTAATTGGAACCATTAGATATGCTAAAATACAACAACAATTCATTGATCTCACACTATCTTAGTTAAATATGAAACAATGTTACAAATACCACTATATAAATATATGTATCCATTAAACCTCAGCAGCTCAGCTTTCCAACAAAGAGGTTTCTCATGTACAAATGTCACCAAGGGTCTTTCAGAGCAGTGTATTAGAAGAAAGTGGATGTTATTCCAGGGGACGAGCAAGCCAGAGAGAGCTCAGTGCTCGAAGCCGAGAGAAATAATCAGTGATAGCAAGAAGAGCACGAGCTGATTGGCGAGTTGTCAATATGTGATGCATTTGCTGCAATGTCTGCTGCCGAAGGTTATCAGCCTGAAAGGACATTTTAATTTATAGGTCAGCCTATTTAAGTGGGGGAAAAAAGACGAAAAAAACTTCAAACATGCGCAAAATGTGGTTACACATTTCCAACAGTGGCGGATTGTGATTTGAGAAAGTGAGTTCTGAAATATATATCTCACTCGCTCACACATGTGTATGGTACGACCCTGAAGCATGGGTTCTACAGAACCTGTGAATCCATGGATGGATTTGCTACTGATTCCCAATATGTTCCAAAGAAAATTTATGTAAACTATCATCACTAAATAGGAGTCAGCCTTAAAGCAATGAGTAGTAGACCCATAAAACATCTCCTCCTCCCCCTCCGTCTTCGAAACAAATACACATACCTAAGGCTTGGAAAAGAGAATCCCCAAGATAGATCTTAAATGCAACTATTAACACCAAATCCCAGATATACGGACGTCAGAATCGATCAAATATTTCACAGCAGGAGTATGTACCTCTTAAATTAACAAGGGAATAAGCACCTTATAGATTCTCCTCTGCTTAAGGCTCTCTGAAACTTTCAAATGACTAAAAAAATTGAATTCACAGAGCCACTATGAGGAGTGGTAAAACTTAAAATGTTCTCAGCCAGCATTAAGCAGCAAATATGCAGCTGCAGATAGCTAGTCATTCTAGTAGACAGGAGAATATGTCATCAGTTGGCTAGGAGTACTGTGAGGTGAAATGGACACTTTTTGTTTGGCTGGGGCCTAAAGTTGTTCAAAGATGTTATCTTGTGCAGTAAATAAGAATGAACGGTTCCTAGCTTCACTAGACCTAGAGTAAGCAAGAGTTCAATTCTAAGCAGGAACTTCAGTTTTCCTTCTCTTTCCCTCCTCAGGCCCCTCATCACTTGTACTTCAAAAGGTATTGATGATAATAACAATATGGTGCAGTAGACAAGTTTGTTTGGATTAAATTGGAATATGAAAATCTAACAAAGACATTTGGAATTTATTACTTCTCCCTTTTCCTTCTCCGAATGCATCTCTCATTTTCTTTTTTAAGGAGACAACTACGGAAGAGGCTAACCAACAGAAAGATGCACAAGTTTGACATGTCAGTGATGAATCTGCAGGTTTTTAGAAAGCATTTCAGACAAAGCAAGTATATAATTTCAAAGGAATAGACATAGATGTGAAGGATTGATTAAGCACCTGCCGTATGAAGCCCTCAAGAGTTCCAAGCTTCCCCATTGCCATGGCCATTTGACCCATATAATTTGCAACATTCCCAGAGGAACCTGAAGGTCCAAGAGACCCTGCGAGAGTCTCAGCCAAAGACTGCTGCAATACCTTTATTCCCTGGGATAAAGCATCCTCAGCCTGTTGGGATGACTGTTGTAAGTTGTTGATTGCCAATAATTGTTGTTCGGTTAAAGGCTCCAACTGATTAATGAGCAGCTGCAATCAAGTGGCAAGAAATTTAAGAACTTGCAGGAAAAATTTAGTCAATAATCTCTCCTCATCACCTTTAACCCTTGAAAAGAAAAAGAGAAAAAAGAAAGGAAGGAAATGTCCAATGGATATTAGAATGTACCTAGTTTTGTAAAGGGGAAGATAGGGGTGGATGGAGAGGTCTGACTAAAGCAAGACCATCGGAGAAATGGAAACATTAAAAGCGCACACACTATGAGAGGAGCTGCAACCTAATTAAAAGCTATATAAAAATCTGTTAATGTAATAGATGTTCAATGTTGGTCTAATTGCATCTTTCTGATGCCATTTCTATAAAATCTGTTACTTCATCAAAAGAAATATTGCAATATTAGTCGATACAAAATTAATGTACAACTACAAAGTCTACATCACTTTAGCTGGATGTTCCTTTTCTGCTATCCCCTTTTCTTACTTTTTCTTTCTCAATAAAGACCAAGGTGCTCCATATTCTCAACATTTGTGTTGCATCTCGATGTTAACACTAAATCGAGAATGCAAATGAACGAAATAGATTCTAAACGATCAAAAAATAGTTTAAAAGGCTGAGAATATGTAAAAGATAGAAAATACTGAATCACAAAACTGCAGAGAGAAAAAAAGGGGAGGAAATTTCAAAAAATATTATCGGTTGCCATACCCTTTGAGAATTTTTCCATTGCACCTTTCTAAATTCTCATTGAATTCTTCGTAATCAATATGTGTGTATGTGCGAAATCCGTTAAAGGAAGAGCTCCAAAAGCTCACAACACCTACCCGCCTCAAACGGCCCCCGTCCCGAGTTAGGACCCACCCGCCTCAAGGCCCCCAGGGCCCTCGAGACACCATGCCTCGAGGACCCCCCCGAGGCCCCTAGGCGCCATGCCTCGAGAACCCCCCGAGCCCCGGAGGCGCCATGCCTCGAGGACCTCCTGAGCCCCGGAGGCGCCATGCCTCGAGGAATTGTTTTAGAAAATAATAGATTTTCAAAGAGCTATTACATGACTGAGGAGTGGGTACTACATGATTGAGGAGTGGTGTCACTTTTGTGAAAATCAGGACAGAGGTATAATCTCTTAGAACAAAAACACAATAACAACCAAAATTGTGTGAGTATAATGTGATGGAATAAAACTCTGAGCTTAAGAGAGAATTCTTGGTTTATAGAAGTTTTAAACTTTATCCATTGTTCTCTGAGTTTAATCTTATTTTATTTAAGTTTTGTTTATAATCTATTGAGTTGAGATTGATTATCCTTGCTAATTGATGATTTGGTTTATATGTCAAATGTATCCATCCCGTTTACTCAGAAATTTTGCACAGAAAGAAAGAACATCTTGGATGAGATTTAGGTACAAAAAAGGCAGGAGCTTTATTCGTTACATTATTTGCTCCTAAATACAAGTCGCTCTTGCTTCATCTTTGCCTAAAAACAAAGACTACAAACCAGTACTACTAGGCGATAGCCAAGGTGGGATTATTACACATTAAAAGCCATTTTAGAATGACTTTCTCTGGGGAGATAGCAGGAAACTCTCTCCTCCTCTGTTCATCTTCAAACGCTGTGCTTCATTTGGCGATATCTGGTACGCGTTTGTGAGGACTTCAATAGGCATTGCTCTAATCACTGATGTGTAACCTGCAAGTTCGCTGTTCATTGGTTGACTACTTGTCCTAAACACCGCGAATTCAAATCCATTTTGCCCTGCTTTCACTGTTGAGGCATAGTATTGAGGGACTACAAACATTTCTCCTTGATTTACCCTGTCGTTCATCACTTGTTGCCCGGTGTGATCTACTACCTGCACTTGTGCATCTCCTCTTTGCACGTAGATAATGCTGTGTCCGTTCACAGACCAATGAGGACTCATAAGTGCATTCTGCAATCCGCCAATTCTAATCAATTTAAGTCATAGTACTAGAAGTATTATTTTTGTTTTTAATCAATTTGGAAATAACATTGACTGAATTACCGGATATAGGGTTCCTTTAGAGGCACTCATGTCCATGTCTCTAAGGATGGGAAGTTTTTGGCGATTAACATGCTTAATTTTGCCAGCTTGCCTTGAGTAGATGTCAGCTCGTCTTTGAGTATCCATGTTGGTGCGGATTTTCATTGTGCAAATGTTTTCTTCCAAGCCATTTCCAGTAACTTCCGCCCACCATTGTTGTCCTCGTTGTGATCTCCCTTCGAATTCCTCTTCTTCTTCATCGGCCCTAATCATGCTCATTCCTTCCCTGACATTAATAATTAGTCCACGTTCGTTCTGTTCTTCTTGCATCTTCCTCACAATCTCTACGGGAATGTTGAAGGCCTCTGCCATCAATTCTGTGTTAAAAGCACGGAAAATGTTCTGGAACTTCTGTGTGCTTTGCTTTCCTACACCAATTTGCCTTCCACTAATTTCTTGTACTCCACCGGCCAAGTAAAATGCCTAAAATCCACACAAATAGTACAGTCGACCAATAAATACATCGAATTAGGAAAGAATTCGAAGTTAAAATGAGTACATTGATTGGTGTAGTTTAACTAGCAAGATCTAGTTACCAATATTAGTCAATTTACCTGTAATTACTTTTTAAGTAAACTGATTGGGTAAACATGTTTCATACAAAATTAAACTCATGAAATTGCATGCACAAAAAAATCATAGAAAGAAGTGGTAATTAATTAATACTACTCCCTCTGTTTCTAGTAACTCTTTAATTTTAACTTTTTCGACGTGTTTAAGATAAGTAGAATTTGGTATACATTCTTTAATAGGAGGGAGGAAATGAATTTACCCTGAAGTTCTGATCAAGCTGGTTGGACCGATGGTTGAGATCGTTAATGGAGACGGCTACAAGCTCTTCCTCACCGTCGTTATAGCACCAATGAGCAGCGCCAGCTGGAATTGCCACGACATCACCTTGGCGAATGCGGTGGACCTTCTGGTGCTGGTCATTTCCGCGGCTCTGGCTCCTCTCTTCACCTGTCATTCGGCCAGCCTGGAAGGTCTGAGACTGGAAAGTCTCAGCACAACCAGGGTTAATAACGCTAATCAATCCCCTGCCTTGCTCGATATAAACCAAGCGAGGCATGGGATGAAAATTAGGCAAAGAGAGAGAATTTTGGCGAATAACATTCCTCATAGGAGCAACTCCAACACACTGGAATTGCTCCTCATTCTCGTCCCACAGCTCAGTGAAGCCGCCCTCTGACTCAATGCGCTGAGAGGGCTGGCTTCCAGTAAGCCTCTGTAAGCGGCATTGTTGAGCTTGAGTCAGAGGAATGCTTCTCTGACCGTGCTGACCTTGCTGAACCGGATATTCTCTATATGCATTTGCTGCAGATAAGAGAAAAGCAGAGAAGAGTATAGCTAACAAAAGCCTAGTAGAGACCGCCATGGCTAAGGATTTTTATTGTTTTATTACTAATTGATTAAAAATACAAAGATGAGATGAGATTTGGAGAAACAGAGGCCTCTGTTTTTATAGTGTTTGAGAGGAATAAGTTTGATGGCCGTGTGGCATTAACCTGTTTTCTTCTGCATGGTGAAACTGTTTTTTTCTGCATGGTGAACATAAATGACACCTTGCAATGGTTGTTTAAAGGAATCAAAGATGTTTTGGTTTAATTTGCATGAAACTATACGTGGTGAAGTGTTGAGCTGCTTTGCTTACACCTTCTGTCTTTGCATATACCACTTGTCTAAGCTCTTCTGGTTTTGATTAATTCATTGTTTTCTGATACTAGCACCTCAGGTAGATTGAATTCAAAAAACTGGGGAAGCAGTAATATTTGGGTTGGGCTCCAATGGATCGACAAATAAGCCTACAAATTTGGGCCTCAAATTGTTGAGTAGAGGCTTTGTTGAATAGGAGTGTTTCTATTAGATATTTCATGTTCAAATTGGATATGTATGTTTTTTTTTCCCGGTATATTCTCAAATGTTGATTATGTAGATAAGTTATCTACATTAAATAGATCAATCTCAATAAATTGTAAAACCTTAGGTATATTCCAATTGAGGTTGGTCTTATTAACCTCAATAAGTCGTAAAACATTAGGTATATTCCAACGAGGTTGGCGTGCATAATTAAAGGAGATGACACATTTTATAGGGTTAATTTAACTATCTATTACATTCTTGAAAACATGCCTAGAAGTTTAAAAAGAAAAAAATTGAATTGAAAATGTAATAAGAATATTTTACCATATGTATTCAGGTACTTAATAGGAACAAGTCATAGTTCAAGTGTCTAATCGAAATTTACTAACAAGTTTAAGAGTTCATTGATGTTTTAAGTCTATTTCAAAAAACTTATAGATTTCATGTCCGAATTCACTATTAAACTTTTGAAATTTAACGGTCAAAGTCGGAATTATGCCACATACATCGGGAGTAGCTTCATCGGGGCCAATAGTCCTCTTTTCTCGCTCACACTTTTTTCTTTGTGTTAATAGTTAAGAGTCTCCTTAAACTTGACACACTTTATTAGAGGTGGAACTAACCAAGACTGAATACTAGCTTTATTTTGTATACTTCAGTCGCATGCTTAATACATGCACGTTCATCAATTCGCTCTTAAAAAAATAGACTAAGAGTTTTTGGGAATTGAAAAATATAGGAATCAATTTGTTTTGTATTAATGGGGCTTTGAGGGACATCTTCTTTTTCCCTTATTAAGCAAATCACACCTAATCGTCCTTGATGTCAATGGGTATAGCTTAAATTAAGTCCAAACAAACTTATAAAGCCTGGTCACTTTTTTCAACATAACAATGGAAATATTAAAACTAAAAGTGAAAATAATACTACTAGAATGTATTCCGTCCATCCAATAATAGTTGTCCATTATACTAAAAATAGTTGTCCAACAATATTTGTATAATTTAGAAAATCAATAGATAATTAACCTTTTGTGTCTATTTTACCCTCTAAGTCGCTATTAAATATTATTTATCATCTACCACATTTTTCAAAGGATTAAATTTAATAAAGTCAAAGGATAATATAATAATATTTTCCCTATTATTTATTGTTTCTTAAGGGATGTGTCAAGTTACTAGTAGACAACTATTGTCAAACAGAGGGGTTAATTGACTTGTGGTCAGTGGTCACGACATCACTTTTAAATGCTGAATTTTAAAAAATAAAATAATGTCCTACTAGTAGATTCTTTAAGTAACTTATGCCTGATGACATTGATTCAACTTGATCTCTTAGCAGCCAAGAATCTAGCTAGTTGCTACAGGATAAAGGCAAAAGCATAAAAAGATAGAAAATAGATGGTGCAGGGAAGAGAGGTCCACTCACGGAACCAACATACAGAGAACAATCACACATATACCAGGCACGCGAGCGAATCAATATAGAACTTGTATCAGACATGATATTTGAGCCAACCAATAAATATCCCGTATTAGATGTAGAATACAAGCCACCAAACGTATTATCTGAGCCAATCAAGAGATATTATATACCAGAGGCATGGTACCGAGCCAACTAATAATATGAATAAAAAGTAAGCAGTCAGAAGGTGTAGAAGCGGATCAATCTTGGAAAAGTTGGAAAAATGAAATGTAGATACGAATTCCCTATATCCACACACGGTTAGAATCATTGCCTAATTCCTCTCCTCTCAGCACTTAGTCACAAGTCCAAATTAAACCTCCCTACTTTTGGGGAAATTGAGACTTAACAATAGTAATTCCAAAGTGATATATGTTAACGAATTAAAAAAGTTCAGTATTGGTGATTAATGAGATGAGTGATCTTCTTATAAAACTTGGTCAATCCTTTTGCCTCTGAGTTAGCTTTTGGGATGTGAATTATTGACTGTGAAAGAGGTTCGCCAAAATATTATTATTGTCTACATAGGTACAAAATCGTGTGTATGTGTATATATAGATGGTTGAATACATAAGTGAAATCTATGCCTCCACCACTGTCTACTAGACCAATTTACAAAGCACTCGTTTCCATAAAAATACATCTAAGTGCAGTGAATATTCTGTATTGATGATTTAAAATTTTAGATTCGACTCTAATCTTACCTGCAAAGAAAAGAATAAAAAGTTATCCAACAAGATGGCTTCACAGCCTGGAGCATCAGATTAAGATACGAAGCAAGACAGTTAAACCAAAATGGACATAAGTCTGCGGAAAAGAAACGCATTCTTCAAACTACCTAATTTTTGTCCTCTTTATCTCTTTTTGCACCAAACTGTAGCGTAAAATTTAAGCCAGTGAATATATATTATTGCACCAATTGACTATAACTACTAATCAACTACTAGTGCTATTTATATATCTTAGTATCTCAGCCTTTGTTATATTTCTCCCCTTATTCATAACTGAATTTGTATTGCTTCATATTCAATCACCATGTATTGCTTAAACTTGCGGAGAGTACTCCTTCCAACTCGAAAAATGTGGAAGTTTTTTTCCACCAAGTTACAAATCAATTTCCACAAAGTACTCAATAGATCCAAAGTCATTAAGAAACCCAAGAATCCAAATCCTTTATGCATCAAGAAACTAGCCCCGTCCCCTGTCTTTCGAGTTCAATTCAAAACTAAACGTTCAAACAATAAGTTCAAATACAAGTCGAAATTCAGACCTACTCTTAAATTTCAAAAGAAATCAGCACCGGTATATATAGATCAACTTTTCATTGAGAATATATCTGATTCTGTGGTGAAGAACAACTTTGGCCAAACTAGTATGATCACGACAAAGAAGAAGGAGCATAAACAAGTTTGCATAACGGAAACAGAACAAGATGAGATAATCCATGAAGGGGAAAGCAGCAGTAGTAGTAGTGTCACTAATGATGAGCTGTGGGAATCATTGACATTGGCATCTCCACAATTGCATTGTATTAATGAAAGAGCAGAGGAGTTCATAGCTAAATTTCGTGCAGACATGCTGCGTCAAGAGAATATGTTGATCCAGCGTTTGTAGTATGGGTTTTTTTCTCTTTTGTAGTTTTTGTCAGCACTGAATAAAATTTGTCCACTATATATTAATCTAGTTTATTTTTATACATTTGAGTGCAGAGAAATTAAAGCGATCAATTGGGGTGATAGAATTAACCCATAAAAATATAACTCTGCTAACTCACTTAAATAATGTTTCTTGGCTTATTCTTTTTTATTTGTCCGGTTAAGTCTATTGAAAATTGGGTTAATTTATAGCTCAAAATGATCAATGAGAAATTTTATCAAAATATTTTCAAGAAAAGATTTTTAGGTACTCAAATTGGAATGGATAAGTCATGATCTCATTTTAAGCTCGGTTCATTTCAATTTTCAGATCTAAGTAACTTTTAAACAAGTCAATAACTTACTAATCTGCTCAAATTCAGCTCAACTTGCCCATTGACATCCGTAAACTCATCAGTAATCAAGAGCAAACAAAGAAATTAAATGGGGTACATCGCTTCCTTTAGTGATCACCAAATAAGCTAGAGATAAATGTAATATTTTTGTGTTGGAAATTTGGCGAGGTGGAGCCCCTTTCGATCTATGATACTCTCTTGAACGCAAGTGGAGGGAAAATATTACATACATCCTTCATTAAACATGAAGGATGAATTTATCATTGATCCACACATTTCACAATGTACATAACCAAACAAAAAAATAATTTCGATCGTTAAATGCAATAACAGAACTTTGATTCAATGAGCCAATGCAATAGTAGTCTCTCACATTCACAAAGTTGAAATGACACACACAAACGCAGAAAGAAGGCAAATATTTATACAAGAACCAGAGTAAAGACTTCAAACAAACAGGCTTTGCCTGTATTACAACCACAAACCGGTGAAATACAGCATATTACATGAACATAGATACTTCCCAATTCTTATTGTACATATGTTCTCAAGAGTATGTAGTGCAGTTGTATACAACTTAAAGGTACTAAATCATAGAAGAAAAAGATCTTCAAGCAACCCCAACAGAGAGACTCTTCATCGCGATACAATTTTCGACTAAGAAACTATCATACCCAATTTCACCTAAGAGTGGCACATGGTCCCAACTGATGTTTCCCCTTAGAGGTGAACAATTTGGCCACATCTAAAACTCAGTGAAGAAAGTCCTTCATTGGATCATCTTGGTGAACCCGCTTCATCCTATATGCCTCCATTTCTTCAGGTGTAACCTGTACAGGTAAATGTCGTTAGAAAGACCACGAAGAAGAAAGACAAAGAAGAAGACAACCACCAGCGGAAAGACAAACTGGAGACATAGATGTACCTCATCATTATATTTAACATTATATTTCCTCTTCCGTTCATCTTTCTCTTCACGTCTCTTCTCCTCTTCCTGTTCAAACAGTAAAATAAATTTGATCAGAACATCAGAAAAACAGAACCTATAGAGACAACTAAGA